GACTTCTTCCACACTTTCATATACAGCCATGTTAACCTGTTCATTTATCTATTATTTATTAATAATGGTATCCAACTATTCACTATATTATTGGATATATCTGTCCCTATAAGTGGATGAATAAAAAGAAAATGATTTTTTACTCTTCTCACTGTTCCATATTCTTGCAAAGTCATGTTCATGGTACAATAGGATATCCTACTACATTGATACATCAGTGTTAGGGGAAATGATCTCGAGAATCCACGATAATCCTTCCGGTAACAATAATAGAGAAAAATAACTATTTCATATTTGTCTTTTTAACCGGTCAAATAGAGTGGCTTATTGTTTTTGTGAAAGTAATATAGAATAAAAAAAATGGTGCACTCCTAAAAATCATAAAATTAATGTCAACAGACATGTTATGTGGCTTATTCAACAAAAAGAATGCTCAACTCTTCAATCCCTCCTTTAAGCTAATTGTAGTACTAATGTAACAATTTGTTTCGAGTGGTTTCATATATTCGGGGCCATAACCCGAAGATCAAAGTATCATAAGGCTTCAGGCTTTGGGAAAGAAAGCTTTAGACCAATTTAGATGTGGGTAATGTAGATTATGGGATCCAATAGTTCGGTTTGTATTTTGGAATCAAAGGGTAAAATGGGAAAAGTAGTGTTTCAAACTTCTTTTATGAATTAAAGATTTTAGTTCGATGTATTTTAAGTCAAACGTAATTAGATAGGGTTATAGAGCTCATCAATACTTTTCTGTGGATATAAAGATCGTCGAAAACGGAGTTTGAACAAAAAAATTATAACCGTTAGAAGTTATGAAGGTTTTAGACTTAGTCTAGTACGATGGGCATACAGGAAGTATGTACGTTGGGCATACTAGGGCATCCCTGATATGTTGGGCATACACAATCAATGTCTGCACCATATTTTCATAGTTTGAGCCCTATTTAAGCTTCGTAACTTCCCCAAACCCATTCCATTTTCAGCCTCCACCTCTCTGACACACTCCTTTGAAAACCCTAACCATAGTTTAATCCTTTTGAGAAAAAGAAGGTGTGCTTTAGTGCTTTGGAGTTTTCTTGGTGCATCTTGGAAAAGAACGAGCTATTTCTAGAGGTATAAAGTTTGAACTTGATGATGCATTTGATAGATCTAGCTGGTCTTGGGTGTTATGAGCTTTTGGTTACTTTAGTGCATAAAGTTTAGATCTTGAAAGTTTGTGACCTTGTTATGGATAAAGTTGAAAACTTTATCCATCTAAACATCATATTGATTCAAATCGCAACGCTTGAGACTTGGACTTCATGGATTAAGTTGGAAAAGATGCATTTTTGATCCCTTTGAGACTTAAAGACTAGATCTTGGTTGGTTGCACCATTCTAATGGATAAAGTTGGAAACTTTATCCATTATGGAGTTATTAGGAACCATAAAAATGTAATATTGGACCTTATTTTCCTTCCATGTATAAGCTAGGATGTCTTAAAGAGTTAAGAAGTTAGGGTTTTTGGTATTGAGCACTTAATGTCCATGCAAGACTATAAAGTTGGAAACTTTATGGTTAAGGACATTGTTTGAGGACTAGATCTAGAATTTAGACGAAAGAGCTTGAGGACTTAAGCCCTTAATAGAAGGAAATGATGGTTGCACGTAAGTTGGGCGTACGATATGGTACATAGGGCGTATGAGGTCAACACCCTGTTTCTAGTCAAGGCTTGTGTACGCTAAACGTACAAGCCGAGTACGTTGGGCGTACTCGACTGAGTTGACTTGGTTGACTTTTTGACTTTTCGACATTGACCTGTTTTTTATCAAGTTTACTTAAGGGTGTTTTGGATATTTTGATTATAAGTTAAGTTTGGTCATGTTCCAATGAATAGATGACCAGTAGAGCTGATATTCAGAGTAGTGTCCTGTTCAACAATCTTTCAGACTGAGAGGTGAGTTTGCTCACTATATTGTAGAACACTAGGGATTGTATTGTAGTCTTTGTGACTCATGTTGTATGTGTTGTATGCATGTGTACCTGTTTGCTATATGTATGTGGGATGAAATAGATCCGGGGGTGAAATAGACCCGATACAACCTTGTGCTGACATATGACTTGAAATAGACTCATGGATGAAATAGACCTGGTAAAGCCTTTTGCTGACATATGAGTTGAAATAGACCCGGGGATGGAATAGATCCGGTACAACCTTGAGCTGACATATGAGTTGAAATAGAGTCGGGGGTGAAATATACCCCGGGGTAAAATAGACCTGGTACAGCTTGAGCTGACATATATGTATGGTATGTGGTATTTTGGGGAACTTACTAAGTTTTGTGTTTACAATTTTCAGTTTATGTTCCAGGTACTTCTAGTTCGAAATGAAGAAGTCGGGATGATCGCATTGCACACACCATGATTTTCCGCTTCATTGACTCTGTTGTACTTTTGGGATGTTTATTGATATTCTCTGAAAACTTTATGGTTTTAACAAACATGTTGGTTGATGGTTTATTTAATATAAAAAAAATGGTTCTTAATTTTAGGACGTTACAATTCTATTGAAGAGAACATAAACATGTTGATGAAACTTACACCATAAACAATATCCGATGGAGTACTCAATTAAGTGCATGAGGCACCCAACGACTTGCTTGAACTTTGTTGAGTCAACTTGCAGTTTTGTCTTTAACGGGATTAGATTAACCTTCCTTAGACGCAAGATTTTAAAAAAACCCATCTTATATGTATTTATTTTTCAAAAATTATCGTTCAATCTATTCAACTTGAAATGGGCTTCCACATGTGAAGTTTGTGCATGTTAAAATGGGTCGAGTTGCATTTGATACATCAATACTTTATTGTCTTTTTTTTAATAGTTACAATTTTAAAATTATAGCACAATAGAGGAAGTTATTAAATATAACTAATAAAATTACAAAAATGATCCCTGTAGTTTGGCAAAAATTACAAAGTCAGTCCTTGCTAATTTTTTTTATGTAAATGGTCCTTGTGGTTTGCAAAACTTGCAAAGATGACCCTTTTTACTAGCGCCATTAGTATTCAACCGTTAGGGACTGAATCTGTAAGGGTATTTTCGTCTTTTCAACTATAGGAGGGACTGAATTCGTTACATTTAGTAAACCAAAGGGACCATCTTTGTTATTTGCCTTAAAAAGTCAAGAATTGATGGGGTTGGGTTCCAACTCACGACCTCAACCTATACATGGCAAATATCTTAACAATCGTTAAAACATAAACAATAATAATAATAATAATAATAATAATAATAATACAAAAACATATTTTTAAATGTTTTTTTTAATAAAACAAATATATTTTTGCGTATTATTTAAAAAAAATTATACAAATAATTATATATATATATATATATATATATATATATATATATATATATATATATGTATTTTGTTTATGTAAATATGTTTTTTTTATATATTTTAAAAATACATTTTCATATAATATGTTATTACGTTGTATTTGAATGCAAAATCGGTCGAATTGTTTTTAAAAATTAAAATATATCGCATTAATTTTAGAACAACCACATTTTCTTAAATGTTTCGTTACATAGATTTGACAATAGTAATCCGGACATTATTCGTTGGTATTATAAAAACATATTTCCAATTTAGGATGAAAAGTATAGTTATATCTTCATTAAGTTAACGCTTATAAATAACATTTTATTTTTTGTTTTTCATTTTAATAAACATAAACAAGATCTCATGAATTCTGGCAAAAAAAAAAAGTTACGTATTTTTTAAATCAAAAAACGGTTTTTAGAAAACCGATTGGGCCAATACAAAAACTTATTTGGCCGATTTTGTATACCCGTACAATTGTAGAGACATATTATATAAAAACATATTTTTAGTTACATAAAAACATATTTACATAAAATAAATACATAAATAAATATAAAAAACATACTTCACATAAAATAAATATATACAATTTTTTTTTATGTTTTTTAGGATTATGTTTTTGTATAATATGTTATTACGTTTTTTATGTATTTAAAAGTATACAAAAACTTATTTTTTTTAAATACATAAAAATTATAATTTACGTAAAATAAATACGTAAAAAAACAAATAATTGTTTGATTTTTTTTACAATACGCTAAAAATATATTTTGTTTTATTAAAATTTTTTTAAATATGTTTTTAATATTTTATTATTAATTTATTTACGATTTGTAGATACTATTAGTTAGTTTTCGAAAATATAACTCAAGTGGCACTAGCCTATATGGTTAAGATTTTTGTTGATTAAGGGAGAAAGCTACAGGTGCAATGTTCGAATCTACTATCTTTCATTTTCTATTATTTTAAGACAAATTACAAAAATGGTCCTTATAGTTTATCAAATGTTACGAATTCAATCATTTTATACGAAAATACCTTTCATTTTCTATTATTTTAAGACAAATTACAAAAATGGTCCTTATAGTTTATCAAATGTCACGAATTCAATCATTTTATACTCGAAAAGATAAAAATACCCTTACAGATTCAGTCCCTAACGTCTGAATACTAACGGCTGCGTTAGTAAAAAGGGTTATCTTTGCAAGTTTTGCAAACCACAAGGACCATTTACATCAAAATAAATTAGTAGAAACTGACTTTATGACTTTTGGCAAACCACATGGATCATTTTTATAATTTTGTTAATATAATTTAAACAAGTCTCACATGTTTCCTTTATAGCTATCTATTTTCGGCTGTCACTTCCATATAAAATCACTAATTTTATTAATCATATTTTGTGATTCGAATTACTCGTTTTACTGTCGTTATTTTCCTCCAACTTCCAATTAAATTTGCCCAAATAATTAGATGAGTTTGATATTAATTTAAGAGCATCAATTGGAGATTACTCAAAAAGTTATAACGTATTCGATGTTTTTCAGTATTTCTGAAGAAAAAAATCATGAATAATACTGAACAATAATTAGATTTAAAGTACTCAACTTCAAATATTTTGTGACACCGTAGTTAACTGATAAATGTATCTTTTTGTATAAAAACAGTGAAAGTAATTTAGTAAATATTATGACAGCAACTTATAGTGAATTAAAAAAAAAAAAAAAACCAGAATAAGATTATTAGTTGTCTTCTATTTTTGCTTTTCAGAAACTTCTACTTTTGGAGGCAACCGATTTGAAAAAGATTTGTTGGCAGCATCAGATGTTGTCTCTGTGTCTGTTTCTGGCCCTTCCTCTGTAAAAATGAAGGATATCAAGTTAACAAAATCATTTTTTTTCTTGTATTAACCAAAAAAAAAAAAAGAAAAAAATAAGGAAGCATACCGAATAGTGACTTGATTGTTGGTCTCTTTGGTTTGTTGCTTTTCTTTTTTAATTCAGCTGCAATAATTAATATGAGTCGATTTTAATAACATGAATTATCAGATATTTTATGAATATTATTTTATCAAGACAATAAATACTTCACAAGAAAGAGAGAGAGATACCCATTCCAGGGACTTGATAGTCATTAACAATCTCAAAATTCTTGTATGTGTAACCAACAAAGTTGATATCTTTGGATGAAAGCATCTGCAAATATAATTAAAAAAAACAGAATAGTAAATCTGGCATCATATTATTAAAAAGAAAAGTAGAAAATGTAAATGTCCATTAGCCTTGTATTGTATGTCAATAGGACAAAAATTACAATTTTTTCTCTCACTTAGAGAGATGGGACAAGAACGTGCAAAAGACGTAAATACCCTCATTATTATTAAAAAAAAACCTAGAAAGCTTACCCTTCTCCATGGTCCAGATCTTGATGAACTATTGTTTTGGTGTTCAGACTGAAACATGAAAACAAATCAAATAAGAGAAAGCTCATGTCAAATGGAAAAAAAAAATGATTTTACATTTACAGATAGAAGAAAACACCTCTTCGAATTTTTCAAAATTTTGGGTATCCAACTCATCATTGACTTCTGGAATAAATGCAGCTTCCATTTGATAAATTCTATCCCAATCAATACCTCTAAACCAAGGATGAGCCTAAAAAAAAAAAAAAAAAGTGAGTTTTATTTAAAAATTGAGTACTTGGAATAATTTTCCAAGAATCTAGAAAAGAACACACCATAGGCATACAACACCTTTATTTCATCTGCACCTTTTGAACCAAGCCTCTGGTTCACATTACAAAGCAGTTTGCTAATCAGATCTTTTGCCTCTAATGAAAGCCTCGCTTCTTCCGGAAACTTCAAATGCATTTTCCAGTTTACTATCTACAAATGTAACAAAAATTAGCACCCATAAATAACATACTTAATTAATTAATTTCAAATGATATACATGCATATACCTTCCTGCAAGTTGACATTGGATCATCAGAGTAGAAAGGTGGATACCCCACAAGCATTTCAAACATAATCGCCCCAAGTGACCACCTTCAGAACAACAACAACAAGAATCAAATCATCGTTTTAAACATACAAAGTTGAAATTGGAATCAGAAGGACAATTCATGAACCTATAAAATTACTTACCAATCACATTCAAGTGCATAACCCTTTTTCAGTAAAACCTCTGGAGCTATATAATCAGGCGTTCCAACAGTAGAATAAGCCTGAAATTTATCACAAAATAGAGTTAGATTAAAGATCCAATTTTTGTTTCATATAAGAAGAAAAATATATATATATATATATATATATATATATATATATATATATATATATATATATATATGGATCCATTACAAGTGTTCTCCTGTTTTTCTGCCAATGTTGAAGTTGTTCTTGTTGTGTGCGTCTTGGAGCTCCAGAACGATCATCACCCGTTGAAGTTCCAACACCATTATCCACATTTGAAAAATCTGTGTCTTCAAGTGTACTACAGTCTAGAGGTTTACACAATCCAAAATCTGATAATCTCAAATGCCCATATCTATCAAGCAGCAAATTATCCGGTTTGATGTCTCTGTTGCAAAAAAAAAAAAAAAAATTAAAAGTATATACTAAAAAAGAAGAATTCAAAGGAGATATACCTATGTACATAATTATGTTTGTGGATGGATTCAATAGCTAAAACTGTTTCTGCAACATAAAATCTGGCTTCATCTTCGGTTAAGGTATCCTTTCTCATAAGTAAAGTCATCATGTCTCCACCAGGAAGATATTCCATGATTAGATATAAATATTCATCATCTTGGAAAGAGCAATATAGTTTGACTATACAATTGCTATCCACCTCTGCAAGCAGATTCCTTTCAGCTCTCACATGTTCAACCTAAAAATCGGATTTATAGACTTAACTACTTGCTCGTATACTAACCAAAACATAAACTTACAAACATTGTCTGGAATTAATTAAAGAGTTTACTTGGCCTCTACGAAGCATTTCTGATTTCTTGAGCTTTTTCATGGCAAATACACTGCCTGTTGTCTTCTCTCTGCAGACTCTGACCTCACCGAAAGCACCCTTTCCGATCATGGTGAGTAGCTCAAAATCATCAGCTCCCATTTTGTGTCTTTTAAGCCGCATGTATTCAGTTTCCTTCTTCTCTAGAAATTTAAGCAAGTTGTTTTGATCTTCCTCTGAAACATCAGCATCAGCCAGTTTTTTCTCGAGTAAAATTCGCCTATTCAAACAAAATCCAAGTGTTACTTACTGGATTGATGTGCTAATACTTTGCAATGGTAAAAAAAAAAACTAAACACTAAATTATCTAATTTCATCAACACTTTGATGTGTACCTTTCTTTCCTCTCTTGCAAATTCTTCATTTGCTCCTTGTAATGGTTCTCAATGTACTTCTTGGCTGCAGCAACCTTTTGCTTTGTGATATTTGATGCCTCTTCACCAGAAATTTCATCTTCACCACCACCCATTGAATCCCTCCTCCTGGTATTTGACCTCAATCGGTCTCTTGGTTGAAATTTATGTAGCCAACTCCTTGCTGAATCCATCAATTTCCCTCACTCCAAGGGAACCATCACCAACCACGAATCAATGTCTCAGAAACACATAAATGTTAAGAATTCCCCCTGATCAACAGATATCTGCAATCACATTGTATTCAAAATCAATGGAAAAAAAAACACCACTTACATGAATAGAATACAAAACCATTGGAAGAAAAACGGACATCAAAAGAAATATGGTAGATAGGCACGATTGTTCCAGATCAAAACTTCAGCATAATTATTGACGAGGATCTCTTCGAATGAACTCATGTATCGATCATAGTCCCGGATACATTTCCAAAACAATATACATTACAGAATTTGAACTCATCCGATCATAACGCGGCTTTTCGAGATCCAAAAGCTTTACGCCAATACATAGTATAAAGATTTCAAAGTTTTTCGTGTCGTAGACCGAATTTTCACAAAGATAAAGCTCGATATGCAATAAAGGCTCGCGAATCAAAGTGCTTTATAAAAATTTGTGCCTCGAACAAAAAATTAACTTACCGTAATTAAATAAAACTAACATGAACAAGCGAAAAAAACGAAAAAACGGATTGAATCGATGCAGAATCGCTCGTCAGTTAAAAAACGCCAAGGAATTCCTGTGTCGGAGATTAAAAAAAATTGCAGAATTGTATCGTTAGATCGATAAAGTTTGATATATGTAAATTACTGGATATATATATAAATATATAGATACATACAGACAGATGAAGAATCGTTCCGCCATTTTCGTGGTTCATTCTCTCTCTCTCTTCAAGTTCTCTCGTTCGCATGGGTTTGTCATAGAACTTCCACACGCATTTTATATATACCTTCGGTCAAATTATCTGTTTTTCTTTTCCTCTTTTCCGTTATTTTTTATATTTTCACTCTTCACTTCATTTTATTGTCTTGCAAAATAAATAATAAGTAATTTAATCATCATGTTTTCTTATTAACCTTTTTAACATAAACAGTAAAAAAAAAAAAAGTAATTTAGGTTTATTTTTAATTTATATAAAAAGTTTGTATGAAAATTAATAACAAACTTTTTAAATTCATTTTAGTTCACATATGTTTGTCAATAATAGTTTGAGACGGCGTTTCTTTTTTACTTTATACACTTTGATTTCTTTAGAACAACAAATACATACATTCTATACGTACTTCTAAACTTTTTTTTGTTGTTTTTGTTTCGAACGAGACTTGGACCATCAACTTATTCACGAGGGGTGCATTTTCCTAACACCCATACCACTAATATATAACAAACTTAATGGGTTAAGCTATATGTATGTGTTTCATACAAATGTCTTAATCCATTCAGTATATTTTATCGATTTTAATTTAATGGGTTAAGATATATGTATGCGTTTCATATAGATGCCTTAATCCATTCGGTATATTTTATCAATTCTATCAATTCAATACTTAATAAGAAAAAAAAAACAGATATTCTTTCTATACCCAATGGTATATACAAACTCCAATTCTTCTTATATTAGGATTTAAGCTATTGTCATTCAACATTATATATAAACTCCATTTATGGCATTTCTTTGTATACACAATATTATCACTTATTTTGATGTTCTTTTTAGTTAGATTGAATAGATATACGAAAAAATTGCGATTAGACAGAGTAATGCAATGCACTCAACAAAATCTTATTATTTTATTTTAAAAAGGTAACCATTTTCTGTAAATTAATAGAAGTATTAAATTATATGACTAATAAAAATTGGTAGATTCTTACTATAGTAAAGTTACATTATATTTTTTTACGATTAACCTTATATATTTAATTTTCAGTAAAATTGCATGGTGTGATCGAAAGGGAGCATGAGCGGCGTGGCTCCACATGGACGTGCATGTTCTTTTGTATTTCTATCACATGCGATTGCTTTTGATCTTTGATTCTATTTTTTATTATTTAATCAATTAATCGATAGTGCAAATAATATCAATAAAATAATTAATACATTTTATTTTATTTTACTTTGTCGGGTTATCCAATGAGATTCGCCTTACATTAGCATTTACCACTTCCTAACAACGTGGGATGCCACCAAGTGCCCACTCCTGTTTGTTTCTACGTGACAAAAAAAAATCTATTTATTTGTAAATGAATTTATTTTTTATGTTTTATTTGTAAGGGTATCTTATCTGCGGTAATATGTGACACGTAGATTGATGGCGACGATTTTGTTATTTTTAAAAAGGGTTATGGTGTGATGTTTAACATTATCGCTGATAAAAATGAGAGAGAAGTAGTGAGAGTTTGATTAAATGATTAAAATAAAATATATACACCCAAAAAAAACATTTAAAAACAGCAACTCAATTATTGCTCTAAATTATATTTTTTAAAAGCTAGTTTATAAATTAAGTTTACAATATATTTTTTTGTTTGACAAGCATGAGAACCTAAAAACTCGAAAAATAAATTAATTATAGCATCTCAAACATTGCGTTAATGGCCCACATATCTATGAAATCTTAAAGAGTTATAAATAAATAAAATAAAAATTATGTTGGTTGGTAAAACCATCCCTACGCTTCCCGTGTTGACGTAGTAATAATATATTCCTTTTTTTTGCCTAAGTCATCTAATGGGATTTTTCCTATTCTTAACCTAAGCTTGTTGAATATCATAACTCGATGTTTTGATCTCCAAATTAAAACTTGTGTTAAAAAAACTTATTTAGTAGTTTATATCGATTTTCTATTTAGCAATCTATCTGATAATTTTGTCAACGATTACACAGAAAATAATGCAAACATTGCAACAAAACAGTTTTTATATATAAAACTTCGGGACCAACCTACAAGATAGCACCGAATTTTGACTTTAAATATAACTTATTATAGAAGTTATCAACCAACTTAATTGCTTCTAAGGCTTGGAAAATCAAGTGACTAGTGAACTGTGAAAGTGACACTCAAATCCAAGATTGTTGCCAAAGTTGTTCAACAATACGTATCATTTGTCTATCTCAAAATCCTGAATAATGTATCAATTTTAGTGCATGATATACAAATCATTATAACATAATAGTTAAAAAAAAAATTATCAGAATGTCTCTTGCAGTTGGAGGAACACAACAATCAAGAAACTACATTGTTCCTTTGAGGCCTTGAAAACGAGACACTTGAATTTCCTTTCCTTTCCTCACCTAACAATAACATTGTCCTCCTTTTGGTGTGTTCGTGATTGAATAATTTAGTTCTTCGTATCGCTTTATTTTTTCCCATAAAATTTGTGATCAGTAAAGCCTTTTTTAATTATAAAAATGATTAATCAGCTTATAGGTAGTAGCATATCAATTACCCCATTATTTTACTTTGCTAGTGCTGTGCCAGGTCATTATTATTTGACTTGTTTTTGCCATGTTATCTTATCTGGCCTAACGAGTTTAAGAAAACAACTTCGTTCTTATAAAAACAAACAAAATTAGGTGAAAGAAGTTCAATCCAAAAGTGTCCTAGCCAATTTGAGACCCAGAGCGAAGACAGGCCCTTGAAAACGAAAATTTGTAATCAAATAACTAGAGTTAATAGTTCATTTATCTCAGTAGCTTTTACCAACATACAAATGAGACCCAAAATGAAACTTTCAATTCTTATATATATAATATACAAGACCTTCCATATGGCTTATGATATGTGTACATAAGACATTTCCATATGTTTTCATGCAACTATGATAAATTGATAAGTATTTTTATCACGGAAAACTGCAATAAAGTATTTACATATTGATCTTATAATCGATTTAGCTCTTATATATTTTTTTTATTCAATTAAGTCCCAAATACCGGTAATCATATTCAATTTAACCCTTTGACCCGGTCAACATGTCATCCAACTTTCAAAAATTATATTTTCGGCCCAGATTTCAAAATTTATTATAAATTTGGTCCAAAATTTACACTTTTGGCCCAAATTTTAAATTTTTTTACAAATTTGATCCAAAATTTACACTTTTTGCCCAAATTTTAGGATTTTTATTATGAATTCATCCTAACTTTAGTTTACTTTACAACTTTTTTTTCTCAAAAGTTAGTTTCTAATATGTTTTTTCTTTAAAAATCATATTTATACAAAAAAAACATTTTTTCACATAAAAATCTTATTTTTCTATGGAAAAATTTTAACAAAACTTTTTTGTATATGAAATATCTAATTATAAAAATAGGTTTGGATTATTTGTGTGATTTCTCTTAAAAAATCAATTAAAAAATTAAAAGTAACCCTAAATCTCGGACTTGTCTACTATTTAAACATCTTTTAGCCTCTTGAACCAAACCATATCAGCCTCTTTAGCCTCATTTCGTCCACCTTCAGTTGTCATATTGTGTGTAAGGCTTTTGGAGCTTAAGGAGTGGGTTTTGTGGCCATTTTAGAGTTCTTTCAAGAAGGAAGAGTTGCTAAGCAAGCTTGGTACGAGTTGGTGCTTCAAGAATCTGTATATTGATCATCTTGCAAAGCTCCTAGAGGTAAAAAGCTTTCACCTTTCCATTTAAATCTCTAGATCTAGCTAAGGTTGTTCAACAACGTCAATTGAAGAAGCAAATGATCCGATTGTTTGAACATTTTCAGGAGGTATAACTTTTCCACTGATACAATTCCAGAGTTCTTCATCAAATTCATTTAAGTAATCCTCCATCCTATCAGCCCACTGATCATAGTATTCAGGGATTAACATTGGAATTTTGGTTGAAGAACCAAGTAAGTGAGAGAAGGAAGTCATGGTGTTCATGTTGAAGTTCGTCATTGATGAACACGAGAAATTTTTAGAAAGCTTGAAAAACTTGATGTAATTGTGAATTGATCAAACGAATTGATCACCGATTGCTAATCGATCACTCGACTAAACAATTCAAATGCAGAATCGATTCAAATCTGAAGATCAAGAGAGATTTTCATAACCAAAAAGCGCGGAAATTTTTGAGTAATATTACTACTCCAAAAGCAAATGATTCTAAAACGAAAATCAGATCAATGCAGTTTGAAATCCTGCTCTGATACCAATTGATGAGAATTGTTATCGAGATTTAGAATGCAATCATGATGGTATGAATAAAAAGTATAAACACAGGAAGTAAATATTAATCAGATCTTATATTGATAATGAACTTATTACAATAAGCAGATAGAAATTGCGAATGATTAATGAATCACTCGTGCATTCAGTTCCTCTACTTCTAACCTCAGTCCCTATTTATAGAAAACCTAAGTGTACAAAAAGTATACTAAGTCCTGAACTATAAGCTTTGCACAAATGAAGACTTAATAAAATAACTAATATGTGAAATAAAAGAAACAAACATTTTGACTTTTACAAGATCTAGTCTCTACAGGTAGAATCATAAAGTTTGATTTTTGCTTTTGTTTCTTCATCAATCGTTCAAGTGACCGTTCCAAATCAGAAGATGATCGTTCCAAACTTGTAGAAGTGTCCCCAATCTCCTTCTTGGTTTTGATCTGATCGGAACAAGCAATTGAACAACAAGTTAAAGAATCTTAAAATTGACTAGATTTACATGTTCAATCTTAGATTCTGCTATGATAATTGATAATTTAGGACAACAAAGTGTAAGTGTTCAGTTTTTACAATCTTATATGTTCAACTCTTTGCTAATGGCACCAAGATGATCACCATCTGATAAGGCAAACTTAACTCAATAGTCAATAATATTGGTTTTAGAGTTCCATTCTTTTGTAATAAGAGCAAAGTTCCAGGGGCATAAATCTTGCTGGAAGTTTCATTTAATCGCCTTACATATGGCATCAACGAGTCATGATGATCCAGTATAAAGACTCTATTTGCTTCTAGTACATGTATGACAAGTGTAAATGATGTTTCAATTTTCAAGTATACTAACTTTCTACTTCATTAGGTTAAGGAACCA